CCCTTAGATCCAGCTTGGTGAAAATCTTTCCCTTTCGCACCCTTGTCAAAATGTCGTCAATCCTGGGCATCGGGAAGGCCACTGGTTCTGACACTGCATTTAAGGCCCTGAAGTCACACACCAGTCTCGGCTTGTTCGTGTTTTTTTGTCCACAAAAACACTGGGCTGCCCCCACCGCCCTGGACTCTCTGATGAACCCTCTCTTCAGGTTCTTGTCAATGAACTCTCTTAGCTCCTGCATCTCTCTGTCTGACATGGCGTACAGCTTGCCCACAGGGAGCTGTGCCCCAGGGAGCAAATTGATTTGACAGTCAAAGGCTCTATGCGGTGGTAGTTGGTCAGCTTCCCTTCGCTGAAGACGTCGCGGAGATCTGCGTATTGTCGTGGTACCTTCACGTTCTCCTTCACTTCAGTCCCTGCTAGGGTGGCTTGGGCCCCTGCCAAAACCTTTCCCTCTTTGCAATGTTCTAAGCAATGTGCTGACCCAAAAGAAACCACTCTCTGATGCCAGCCCACCAGCGGATCATGTAACGCTAGCCAGCTCATCCCCAATATAATGGGAGCTCCTCCCAAGGTGGCCACATTAAAAGCTATCAGTTCAGTGTGCCTTGCCACCTTCATTATCATTGGGACGGTCTGCAAGCTGACTTCTCCTCCCAACAGCTCCCTGCCATCGATCGTGGTTACCTGCAGGGGGTTGCTTAAAGGGAGCGTCTGTATCTGGTGTTCAGCTGCAAACTCTTTGCTCATGAAATTGCAGGAGCTGCCTGAGTCCAACAGCGCCTTTATCTTTAGAGGGTGTCCGTTTGGGAGCTCTAGTGTCACTTCTATCACTAGGGCGGGTTTAGGAGGTTCTGGAGTGGGCACTTTCACTGCTCTTTGGCCTGGCTGCTGTGCCCCGACAATGGCAGCCAGGCGTTGGCTTTTAGTTGCTCCGGTATTTTTCCTCTCTTCCCTCCACAGCTCCCACCATCCCTTGCCATTCCTTCCTCTGAGGGCAGACTCTGGCAAAGTGCCCTGGCTGTTGGCAGAGATAGCATTTCCGGGCGCCTTTTCCATCCTTCTTTCCCCCCCTCACTGGGCTTTGAAACTGCGCGCGCGCGCGCTGTTCCGATTTCCATCGGCTCTGCCGGCGGGACAGTTGGCTCTGGAATTTCTGGAATGCGGAACTCCTTCCAACGTTCCCCTTTCCCTTCCCGCCTCTCCAATGCTCTCGCCTCCTGGCGCGCTCCTATGGCCAGCGCTGATTTGGTCAGCTGGTCCATAGACTCCGCCCTGGGCGCCCGGGAAAGTTCATCTTTCACAGCCGAAGAAAGCCCTTCTTCAAAGAGCATTTGAATGGGTTCCGCCGATAAGTCCCACCCCAATCTGTGTATCAGCATGGTGAACTCAGTCCAGTACTCACGTACAGATCGGCTCCCTGTTTGCAAGCCATTAACTGTCTGCGCACCACTCCCTTTTCAATATCGCTGGAAAACATCAGATCCATGGCGCGAAAGAACTTCATCGTGTCCTTTAAGACGTCACTATTAGCTGCCATCAGGGGTCTAACCCAGTCTCTCGCCCCCTTTTCAAGATGCCCAATCACAAAAGCCACTCGTGATTCCTCATCAGGGAAATCATCAAACTGCAGATTGAGGGCATATTGCATTTCTGTCCGAAAGCTATGATAGTCTTTGGGCTCCCCCCCAAATTTTTGCACCAATCCTGGTACCTTTCTGGCGAGCTGGGTGGCTTTCTCCCTTCTGTCTGCATCTTGAGCCCTCCTCTCCTCCAGCCTCGCCGTCTGCAGCGCCAGCTGGACCTCCAACACTCGGTACCTTTCTTCCAGGCTTGGACCCGCTCCAGCCCCTGCTTCTCCGGTTCCTGCTGGGTTGCTCATTATGCCTTCTCCTGCACAAGCTGCGTTCAAAGACTGTCGGAATGCTGTGATGGGATTATGAGCTGCTTGTGCGTAAAATCGTATTCCCTCAGAGTTTGTTCAAGTCCACAAACCTCTGTCTGTGACTGAGCCCCTCTGACATGGCTCCTCTTAGTCACTAGAAGATTCCGACAGTGGTTGCTTTCGTAATCGCTTCCAACATAAAAGCTCCTTAACGGAAACACGTCTTCTGGACTCTCTGCGTGACAGTTTCCGGCGAGGAGTGGGTGTCGCTACAGGAGGTCCGGAAACCTCACCACTGTTTTCGCTGGAAGTATCTCTGAGCCATCCCCCAGCTCCCTTTCCCTCAGTTCAGCTTCTCTCCCCGGCGGGTTTCCTCTTCAGCTGCTAAGTCTCTTCCAACCTGTCTGAGCCCTTTCACCTCCCTCAGTTCAGCTTCTCTCCCCCTGCTGGTTTCCTCTTCAGCTGCTAAGTCTCTTCCAACCTGTCTGAGTCCTTTCACCTCCCTTCCTACCGATGGCAGTTCCCTGACAACTCAGGATGAAACGGTAAAATCTGCTATGATTAAATGGGCACAGGATGTTGGACACAACATCATGTTTGCTGACTGGGAACAGTTATGGACCACAGGTACGAAGTTTACAGCATGTAATGCTTTAAAAGAGAACATAATGAAAATGGTGTACAGGTGGTACATGACCCCAGTCAAGCTTGCAAAAATCTTCCATTTGCCCGATAATAAATGTTGGAAATGTAAAGAAACTGAAGGTACATTCTTTCACCTTTGGTGGACGTGCCCAAAGATTAAGGCCTTCTGGGAAATGATATACAATGAGTTGAAAAAGGTATTTAAATATACCTTCTTGAAGAAACCAGAGGCCTTCCTCCTGGGCATTGTTGGCCAATTGGTGCCAAAGAAGGACAGAACTTTCTTTATGTATGCAACAACAGCAGCAAGAATACTTATCGCGAAGTACTGGAAGACACCAGATTTACCCACCTTGGAAGAATGGCAAACGAAGGTGATTGACTACATGGAATTAGCGGAAATGACTGGCAGAATCCGTGACCAGGGAGAAGAGTCGGTGGAAGAAGATTGGAAGAAATTTAAAGACTACTTGCAGAAATACTGTAAAATTAATGAATGTTAAAATGAGGTCTGATCTAAAATAACTGGTATTGGTAAAAGTTTCGCTTTTAAGAGTATGTAAATATTGATTGATAACGGTGTAAAAACATTTATTTACAATAGATTAAGTTTTTGAGTTAAGATAAAGGAAAGAGGGCAAGGATTTGCTGAAAAGACTTTTTAAATGGGAATATAAGCGGGGAGGTGTGAGGAGGTCAAAGAACCAAGGAGAGGAGATTAAGGTTAAAAGAAAGCATAAATTTTAATTTGTTTATTTTCTTATTTTTTTATTGTTATTTCTATTTTCTTTTTTTTCCTGTTGTTTCTGTTTTTGTGATTTTTGTATCCTTTTGTAAAATCAATAAATATTTTATATATATATAAAAAAGAAAGCTTGCGGAGCACTAATGAAATTCTATTTTACACTGGGTGGCCAGTGTAGAACCTGTGCTGAAAATCTTCGCCAATAAAGCGGTTTCCCAAATGCTCTATGGAGCAGTGATAAGGGGCATGGACCCAAATGCTAACAAAGCCTTAGAAATAGTGCAGAACAAATTTCTCAGGAAAGTGCTCTCGCTCCCCAACGGGACCCCAGATGCTCTTATCCGTGTTGAAGCGGACGTGACAACAATATGGGCTAGAATTGACTATCTGTGTCTAAACTATGTGAAAAGACTCCAATCACTCTCGGAGGAGAGATTCCCCGCTATGTCCCACACTGAACGGGAACAGACCAAATGCTGGAAGGCTGGCACCCAAAGCCTCTTGTCCCAATATCAATTACAAGATCGTCAGGTGACCATGAAGATGAATAGGAGGCACTTAAGAAATTGTCTCTTTAGGTCCGATGCACAAAGGGATTTATCCATGGTTGCCTCTATCAAAAGTTCACTATGGTTCCCACTTATTAAAATGGAGCACACCCGAGCTAGATATCTGACAAAGCTCCCACTTTCTGTACTAAGAATCACTTTTACAGAATTCCAATTCCAATCGATGCCCTTGATGGTGTTGGATGGTCGGTACGGCAAAGTACAGTACGAGGAGAGACTTTGTATATGTGGGCAACCCTGTGTAGAGGGTCTGTACCATTATTTATTGCAATGCCCGCTACATATAGATCCAAGAGACCGATTTATAAAACCCCTGCTTATGAATGGAATACACGCTAACAGGGTGGAAAGGGTGAAATGGTTGCTGAGCGATACTGATGACTTTGTAACTTATAAAGGAGCACTATATGCGTTGGCAGCTAAGAAGATCAGGAGAAAAGAGCTAGATAAGATAGCGGTCAACTGCGAAGGGGATTCGGACATTTAAACATTTAAACATTTTACCTGAGATTTCCCTGCTATTCTAGTTTATGCAACAAATAATTTCTAGGAGACTTGACCGTGGTCTATTGCACTTGCAGTGCTAAATGTTTTTATGGTTATTGCTGTTTTCCCTTTTGTTCCCCTTGTGAACGATGCCATGGCCTTTGGCTAGCGCAATAAAGTCTATGATGATGATGATGAATAAAGTTGTGGCCAAATTTTAATTCCATAACACGTTGTCAGAGTCATTATTCCTTTCTGGTGGTCCCTGGGGGCTGGGGCAGTCGGTGCCTGGTCACGCACTGAGTTAACTCTCCCAGTTCTTCTCCTCCTAGCTGTTCACTACCCAGCTCTTCCCAACTTTTGGCCTCTGAACTATGCCCCTCTGCAAACCACTGTTCCAAATCTATACTGTCCCACTGCTCCTGGGAAGATTCAGGATCCCACCATTCCTTCTCGGTGCAGCCCTCTTCAGCACAGTCCCTGAGTGACATAAAGAGGTCTCAGAGATCAGAGTATGCCCCTGAATGCTAGTTGCTGGGAATCACATGTGAAGATAGTTCTGTTGTGTTCATGTCCTGCTTTTTTGCTTCTCTTAAGCTTCTGGTTGAATCATTGAATTGTAGAGTTGGAAGGGACTCTGAGGATCATGGAGTCCAACCCCCTGCAATGCAGCTGCCCCATATGGGGCTCGAACCTGAGACCTTGGTGTTATCAGTACCATGCTCTAACCAACTGAGCTATCCTATAAGAACAAGATGCTGGACTAGAAGTTCACTAGCCTGATCCAGCAAGCTCTTCTTATGTTCTTATCGAGGGCATTCTGTATGGCTTCAGCTGATCCATCAACCCACTTGAATTTATCTGAGCGATCAGTACATTATGCCCTAAATATCCCAATGGAACCACTGCCCACATCTCTGCGGCTCTTTAGAACCACCCCAGCATATTGCCAGAGGCTTATAGCACCTTTCAAACCCACCAGGGCCAGGTGATCTGAGAAGCCAAGAAGGCTCCTCCCAGCCTCATATAATGGACCACTTGCTCCTGGTTCCTCAAACTGAGCAATGTGTTGCTTTCTAGAGGTTACACGACTACGGTTGCCAGGAATCTGAGTCTGCCTTGCAAGCCTGCTTTCTCTCAGCTGACATCCTTCAAAACCAGCCTCCTCTCAGTACAAAGAGGCTTTCTGATGCAGCAGGGCTTCTTCTTTGATCATTGGGGGCCAGGATTGGCTCAGAAATGGCTGCTTGCAGTCTTGCTCTGCCTCAGGTGTGGAGGTAAGTCCCGCCTACCACCTTTCTTCCAAAAATCAGAGAAATCCCCATGCTGCTTTTTGAGCTTTGATAGGTAGTTTGGGATGTTTTAGCAGGGACAACCTCTGAGAGGCTTACTCTGGAAGCCCAAAACAAACAGAGGATGACTATGGCTGCTACTGTGTTGGTAAATACCATCGTGGGGAAGAGGGGCTTACTTCAATATTAAAATGGTGTCTGCAGCCAGCATATCCACATAACTCACCTTAAATATCCAGCATATTTGAATCTCCATAGATAATGGTTCAATCTTTTGGAAAATAAATTTGCAGAAAACAAATCTGCAAACAAACAAAAACACACCTTTAAACCAGTGCTGATGGTTTGCTATGAAACCATAATAATAATAATAATAATAATAATAATAATAACAACAATAACAACAACAACAATAATAACAATAATTTATTATTTCTACCCCACCCATCTGGCTGGGTTTCCCCAGCCACTCTGGGCGGCTTCCAACAAAACGCTAAAATACAATAACCTATTAAACATTAAAAGCTTCCCTAAGCAAGGCTGTCTTCAGATGTCTTCTAAAAGTTTGGTAGTTATTTTTCTTTTTAACATCTGGTAGGAGGGCATTCAACAGGGTGGGTGCCACTACCAAGAAGGCCCTCTGCCTGGTTCCCCATAATGTGGCTTCTCGCAGCGAGGGAACCACCAGAAGGCCCTCGGCACTGGACCTCAGTGTCCGGGCAGAACAATGGGGGTGGAGACGCTCCTTCAGGTATACTGGACCGAGGCCATTTAGGGCTTTAATGGTCAGCACCAACACTTTGAAACGTACTGGGAGCCAGTGTAGGCCTTTCAAGACCAGTGTTATATGGTCTCGGCAGCCGCTCCCAGTCACCAGTCTAGCTGCCGCATTCTGGATTAGTTGTAGTTTCCGGGTGACCTTCAAAGGTAGCCCCACATAGAGCGCATTGCAGTAGTCGAAGTGAGAGATAACTAGAGCATGCACCACTCTGGCGAGACAGTCTGCAGGCAGCTAGGGTCTCAGCCTGTGTATCAGATGGAGCTGATAAACAGCTGCCCTGGACACAGAATTGATCTGTACCTTCATGGACAGCTGTGAGTCCAGAATAACTCCCAGGCTGCGCACTTGGTCCTTCAGGACCAGGGAGTCCTCCACACCCGCCCGCCTCCTGTCCCCCCAAAACAGAACTTCTGTCTTGTCAGGATTCAACCTCAATCTGTTAGCCACCATCCATCCTCCAACCGCCTCCAGACACTCACACAGGACATTCACCGCCTTCACTGGTTCTGATTTGAAAGAGAGGTAGAGCTGGGTATCATCTGCATATTGATGGACATCCAGCCCAAACCCCCTGATGCTCTCTTCCAGTGGCTGGATGGAGATGTTGAAAAGCATGGGGAAAGGACAGAACCCTGAGGCATCCCACAAGTGTGAGCCCAGGGGTCTGAACACTCATCCCCCCCCCACTTTCTAGACATGGCCCAGGAGGAAGGAGCGGAACCACTGTATGACAGTGCCCCCAGCTCCCAGCCCCTCTAGACAGTAACACAACACATGATGTACTCCCTCAGAAGCATTTCTAATTTCACCTCCCCACTTTATGCCAAATTGGTGGTAGCAAAGGGACTAGTAGTTTCCCTTTCTGCAACAGGGATGACCTTATTTTTTTTCTTTTTCCCCCCAAGTGAATTTTTATTGTTTTCCTTACATATTCTTTTCCAACAAATTGTAATAGCACCATACATTCCCTTTGACTCTGCCGAGTCACGACCCCCCTCCCTCCCCACAACTGGTATATTTATCCTCTTTCCATCACACACATCATTCTCAAATTAGTACTATTATACATTGGAGGTATTATGTCAATCCTGCTAGTGTCTTGACCTCTTTACAATTCTTCTTGAAATATTCAATAAATTTACTCCAGTTATTTTGGTATCTTTGATCTCCCTGGTCCCGGATCCTCCCTGACAGTTTGGCAAGTTCTGCATATTCTGTCAACTTCGCCTGCCACTCCTGTATAGTTGGTATATCTTGTACTTTCCATCTTTGGGCCAGAAGGGTCCTCGCGGCAGCTGTAGCATACATGAACAAATTTTGATCTTCTATTTTAATTTCTGTTCCTATTAAGCCTAATAGACACGCTTCCGGTCTTTTGGGGAAAGTATATCTAAATATTTTTTTGAGTTCATTATAAATTGATTCCCAAAATTTTTTTACCTTATCGCAGGTCCACCACATATGGAAATAGTCCCCATCTGCCTTTTTGCATTTCCAACACTTTCTTTCAGGGATGACCTTAAGCTACAAAACTCCCGCCTGTGTCCTTGTTGCTATGCTCTGTGAAGTGCAAGGCTATGAGCAATGCAGGTGGGGTACCAGCTGTTAGATTGCTACAGGGAAGTAACTGGACTTTAAAATTTTCATGGAACTTTTCCCGCCTCTGGAAGCATCCTCTCTACAAAGACCAAGTTGGCTTTGAAGGGGAGGGAGTAGGGCTGGATCTACATGGACCTGTTTAATGTTACCCCCCCCATTAGAACAATATTAGATACATTGTTCCAAAACAATACTTGACAATGATAACATATTTTTTTTTACCTTTCTCTCTCCTTTTTTAGTCAAATGTAAGTAATGCTGTTTCTGTACCTGCTGCTGGCTGCTTGCTCTGCCCTGCCCTCTGCTGTCACATTTTAATTATCCCTCCCTCCCTGAACCCTGTCCCTCAAATACCATGAGAGGGGGATTGGAGTTTGAATGCAGCAAAAATTGGGTAAAACACCATACAGGGACATATGAGCAGTGTTTCACCAATATAGCAGCATAAAATGATTAAAAATTAAGCGATTTGTTGTGTTCTGAAGGCAAAGGAAGGACTGGACCCTGATTAATACAATAGACACGAGGCTTGACGAGCAAGACCTTTGGGAGAAAGTTTGCTTGCCACACCCTGGCCCAGGCCATTTTTATTACCAAAAGAACTTTGACACAGCGTTTGTAAGAACCAATCAGATTTCCTCTGAGCATTTCAAAAATCCCCACGTGGGGACAAAGTCAGATCAGAGGAAGCCTCTTAACTACAAAGAACTACTTCCTATTTGAGCATGCATACATGTTCAGGCTAAATAAACAGGAATCAAGGAGGAATGCATTCATCAAACCCCGGAGGTAATAAACCATAGGAAAGGAAGGACAGGCAAGGAAAGACAGGCATTTTACCACCTCCTTGTGAACTCTGTTTCCTGGCCCTAAGATTAACAAAAGCTACATCAAAGCTACCTCCTTATCTTTATGTACCCAGGATGCCTGGTAAGCAACTGGTCTGTGTAGAATGCTTATACAGTGGTACCTTGGGTTACATATGCTTCAGGTTACATACGCTTCAGGTTACAGACTCCGCTAACCCAGAAATAGTGCTTCAGGTTAAGAACTTTGCTTCAGGATGAGAACAGAAATTGCGTGGCGGCGGCGCGGCAGCAGCAGGAGGCCCCATTAGCTAAAGTGGTGCTTCAGGTTAAGAACAGTTTCAGGTTAAGAACGGACCTCCGGAACGAATTAAGTACTTAACCTGAGGTACCACTGTACGTGACTGTCAGGCATAGAGAAAATGGGGCAGAGATGAAGACTTGTGGGGTTGAATCAGAAATCGTGTCAATGACTCAAACCGAGTCAAAGTAACGCTTTCACTGCTGACACAATGGCTTGCTTCATTTTTCATAATTCCTCATAGCAATCCCACATGACCACCACAGCGATTAAAAAAGACAAAGTAATAACACATTATGAACGTAAATAGCAGGACATCATGTGTCCATCTAGCTTATCAAAAGCATTCCTTAACCCTTCCTTAATGTTAAAAACCATGATTGTAGATTGTAGCCCTGGGTTGCACATGGAGAGGTTGGCGCCTGTTTTGCTACATTAGATTCTGCAACCTGGGGTTGATTTCTGGGAAAGGCTGACTTGCCAATCGGGCCTCTGCAGCAGCCTTACTGGGGCTAAATTGCTATAGGGCTTGATTTTTAACTGATTCACCATTTAGAAAAAGTTATGTTAGGTCTTGTCTTCACTGATGGAAAGAAGAAAGAGTCCCTAACAGAGAGGAATGGCAAACTAAGCTGTTAGACTATGCTGAAATGGCAAAACTGACTGGGAAACTCAGAGACCAAGAAGACAAGAAATTAAAGGAAGGATGGGAGAAATTTATAATTGATTTAGCAGACCACTGTAAGCAGATGAAAACATTAGCAGGATTTAAATCTCACTTGTAATGTAACAAATATCATGGATAATATGGATTGATATAAAACATAGACTATGAAATAATATGCAGTTGGAAATGTTGACAATAGAATGTGTATGTGTGGGAGGGGGGAGTCACAAGATTAAGAGAAATCTCATATTATGGCTATGTATTTGGCATTGCAATTGTTTTTTCATTTGTAAAGCCAAATCACAATGTGGTGTGTGTGGTTTTTTAAAAAAGATATTGTCTTCACTGTTCACTAACGTTTTCTTTCTTTTTTTTACTCCCTCTTCCAAACCTTTGATGAAGTTGCCACAGCAGTGTCAGAAAAATGGCATACTCTTCGCCATCTGTGGATTACATGTCTAGGAGTCTGGATGTTAGTGATGGTGGTGGATGGTAAAGAAATTATGCATGCGAGAACTCCATTGTTCGCAAGCAAACCTTTCGTAGTGCTATGGAACGCACCAACCAGACTGTGCCAGCTGCGGTACAAGGTGGATTTAGACCTTAGAACTTTTAAAATTTACGCAAATCCCAATGACGATTTGAGTGGCTCCACTGTGACAATATTTTATCACAATCGCTTGGGCTACTACCCCTATTTAAAGAGCCCCGTTAAGCCCATCAATGGAGGGATACCACAGCGCGGAAACCTTTACAAGCACATCGCCAAAGTCAAGTCTGATCTCAAAAAGGCCATACCTACGAATCAATTCCAGGGACTTGGAGTCATTGACTGGGAAGACTGGAAGCCCCAGTGGATGAGGAACGTGGGCACTAGAAATATGTACAAAATTTCGTCTCTCGAACCTATTAGAAAGGAGAATCCTCACTGGTCTAGTTTCAGAATCAGGAGCACCGCCAAGCAAGCATTTGAAAAGGCAGGGGAGACGTTTATGAAGAACACCCTTATCCAAGTGAAAAGAATGAGACCAAAGGGACTCTGGGGTTACTATCTATACCCGGAATGCCATAATTATAATTTCATGGTGCATCCAGATAAATACACAGGAAAATGTGAAAAGCTTGACTTGAAATTGAACGACCGTCTGCTTTGGTTATGGAAAGAAAGCACTGCCCTATATCCTTCGGTACACCTGCAGCACAAGCTGCAGTCAAGTCGGAGCTCTCAGAGATTTGTGCGCTATCGGGTTATGGAAGCAATGCGTGTTGCTACCATGGCTAGAAAGGACTATGCCTTGCCTGTTTTTGTGTATTCTAGGCCATTTTATGCCAGAACGTTCAGCCCTTTGACAGAGGTAAGGGGAAAGGCATAGACTAGAATCTATAAACCTCCCAGAACCAGCTTAAACATTAGTGTTGAGCAGGTACCTGATTGTATACAGGTGAAAGATTCAATGTTAGAGAAACCAGCTTAAACATTACTGTTGAGCTGATTGTATACACGTGAAAGCTCCAATGCTAGAGAAAGGAATTCATGCAAGATCCTAGGACAACCTCTGTCACTAAGTAGGCAATGCTCTGAAACCAGAAATCCGTGCTCCAGAGAGTGAACTAGTATCCTTTCGGCTCCAAAAGTGCAGTAGTCTCACAAGTAGACAATCTCTTGAGTAGTTGTTGCCTTGCAAGGGACTTTCCAGCAGATTGTTCATACAGAGGGGCCACCTATGGAGGAGAACTTTGCAGAATGGAAGCTCCTGGCTCTCAGCAGGGTTTTTTTTAGCTGAAACATTTGTCCTGCTCCCCAAAACAATTTAATGCTGCTTCCAGGGCAGGCTGGGCTGTCCCCAGAATGACCCAGGGTGGGTTGGCCTGAGCTGAACCTCCACAATCATATATGTTAGGGTTGCTATATTTCAAAAAGTGAAAATCCAGACACAAAAGTTGTTAATCATTTATTCTTCTTGTTCTTCTTAATTTGGCTAAAGTTTCTGAGCTGCCTTTTTTTTTTTTTGCAAAATTTTCCCAAAAAATATATCTAGTTTTTGAGGTATTTTTAAGGAAAATCGCCAAAATAACACTTCCGGCATGAGTTGCCATATGTCTGGGTTTTCGGGAATTCCACCTGGAGGAATCCTGGATATGTCCAGGAAAGGAAAAACCCAGACATATAGCAGCCCCAATATATGTGTACTATAACACAGATACATATACATTTAAACCACAAATATATGCATTTAAACCATAAACACTCTAAAAAGAAATATACTGTCATGGTGAACAGAGCAGGACTAAGCACTCTCTTCCCTAAATGCACAATACACCCAGAGGTGCCAGATTCTCTATGAAATTGAGGGGGCCCAACACAGCACCCTGATATCGTGAGTGAGGTCCTCTGAATATTGAAGGGGCTCTGCCCTTTCAAAAAAAAAGAAAAAAAAAGATGGGGAGGGGTCAAAGTGCCTTGGCCTCCAGGAGCCAACGCCTTTAAACACACCAGAATGTTCTTCATGTGGTGATGAAAAGTTGGCAACAGCAGAACGGGGTATATGTGTGTGTGTCATATTTCTAGTGGGAGAGAGTTCCTCAGCAGAGCACCACAGCGAAGTTCTACAGCCATAACTGACAATGAGCTATGTGAGTTGGCTGCATGATGTGCCACAGTCACAGGACCACAACAGGGCCTCTGCTGCAGTTAGTAGCATATACTGGCAGAGGCAAGCATTCAGGTATTTGGGGCCCAGGAACCTACTTTATAGACCAAAGTCTGAAAACTGGGCCTGCTTGCATTCCGGTGCTGTTCTTTAAGGATTGGCGAGGTACATTCCCAAATCGCAATGCCACCCAGAAGCCTGGCAGCCTCATTTTACACCATCTCCAAGCGCAGGAACTCCTTTCGACGTATCCAGACAGCCTTCCAGTGTTGGGTCCTTGAATACCGCCCAATCTACGCACCTGATCCTTCTGGAAGAGTTTGGCCTCATCCAGCATGGAGCCAAGTACTGCCCACCACCAGCACTTTCATCTGGACAGAGTTCATTCTCAACTCATTGGCCCTCACCCAGCTCATTGCTGCACCCAGACTCCGATCCAGCAACTGCACATCCTCTCCTGAATAAGAGCTGGACATCACCCACATACTGTTGACATGGCAACTTTCCCCAACAGGTTCATAGAGTTGTAGAAAAGCACAGGGCCGGTGGTGGCATGGGAGCTCACAGTAGAATCGTAGAGTTGGAAGGGACCCTGAGGACTGTCGAGCAGCCCAACCCCCTGCAATGCAGGAATATGCAGTTGCCAGGATCAAACCAGCAACCTTGGCACTGTCAGCACCACGCTCTAACCAACCGAGCTGTCCAGGCAGTTTCAGAGTTGAGTTGCACAGGTAGCAGGGATGCAGTTTTCGGAATACAGAGTTTTTGAGCTTTATGGGTGCTGAAAAGGGTTCGCATTTATTGTGCCCTATCCTGGTCATTTGGATTGCTGTTCAGAAGGTCGACAGTTCAAATCCCCGCGACGGGGTGAGCTCCTGTTGCTTGGTCTCTGCTCTTGGCAACCTAGCAGTTCGAAAGCACACAGTGCAAGTAGATAAATAGGTACCACTCCAGCGGGAAGGTAAACGGTGTTTCCTTGTGCTGATCTGGTTCGCCAGAAGTGGCTTAGTCATGCTGGCCACATGACCAGCTGTACGCCGGCTCCCTCGGCCAGTAAAGTGAGATGAGCGCCGCAACCCCAGAGTCGTCTGCGACTGGACCTAACGGTCAGGGGTCCCTTTACCTTTACCTATCCTGGTCATTCGGATTGATCCCACACTCTTGAAATTGCTGCATGTTTTCACAGGAGATAGACACTAGCCTTTGTTTGTAAAAGAGGGTTGACAGTGTTGTAGAAAACGGCATTATACCCTCTGGTGTGTACATTCCTACCAGTGAAATCTCTGGCAAACAGGTGTTGCAAGGGGGGTGGGTTGTAGTGTTCAAAAAACCTGTTTCTTTAGTGGTTTCTGCAACGGTGAACCAAAAAAGCAAAGAAAAGCAAAACTATTGTGTATATTATTATCATCATTATTATTATTATTTCTATATTTACCCTTCATCAAAGGATCATGGAATGGTTTACAATATAAAAACACAAAAATACACACCATAGTAATAAACAAAAGCTATACCCGCCCCCAACACAGTTTAAAAGGCCATAGATCGTTTAATTAGCCAAAGCCCTAGGAGAAGAAGGTTACTGCTTGGTGCCTAAAACTATGTAATGAAGGCGCCAGGTGAGCGTCCCTGGGGAGAGCACTCCACAAGCAGGGAGCCACCACAAAAAAGGCCCGTTCTTGTGTTGTCGCTCTCTGGACCTCTTGTGGAGGAGGCACATGAAGAAGAGCTTCAGGTTATGATTGCAGGTTGGTTCATATGGGGACATCACAGCAGTGCCTTACCTTTGCCTCTTGGTTATTACGCATGTTCCTGCTTTACTTTTCAGGAAGACTTGGTGAATACTATTGGTGAGAGTGCGGCACTGGGGGCCGCAGGAGTCGTCCTGTGGGGAAACCATCGGTATGCCCTAAGTAAAGTAAGTGAATCTGGGTTAAGAAAATGTATTTGATTTTGCAAGAATTCTTGGGTAACCTCTCATCTTCTTCTCTCCCCACCCCCGTGTATTAATTTTGTTTTTTTACATATACAGTGGTACCACTGGTTACATACGCTTCAGGTTACATATGCTTCAGGTTACACACTCCGCTAACCCAGAAACAGTGCTTCAGGTTAAGAACTTTGCTTCAGGATAAGAACAGAAATCGGGCTCCCACGACGCGGCGGCAGCAGAAGGCCCCATTAGCTAAAGTGGTGCTTCAGGTTAAGAACAGTTTCAGGTTAAGAATGGACCTCCGGAACTAATTAAGTACTTAACCTGAGGTACCACTGTAAAGGGACACGGGTGGCGCTGTGGGTAAAACCTCAGCGCCTAAGACTTGCCGATCGCATGGTTGGCGGTTTGAATCCCCGTGGCGGGGTGCGCTCCCGTCGTTCGGTCCCAGCGCCTGCCAACCTAGCAGTTCGAAAGCACCCCCGGGTGCAAGTAGATAAATAGGGACCGCTTACTAGCGGGAAGGTAAACGGCGTTCTGTGTGCTGCGTTGGCTCGCCAGATGCAGCTTGTCACGCTGGCCACGTGACCCGGAAGTGTCTGCAGACAGCACTGGCTCCCGGCCTCTAGAGTGAGATGAGCGCACAACCCTAGAGTCTGGCAAGACTGGCCCATATGGGCAGGTGTACGTTTACCTTATTACCACTGTAATACAGTAAAAAACCAAACTGGTCTAAAGAGTAATAATAATAATGATAATAATGTAATGCAGAAAAAGAAACAAAAAGATATAACAGAAGAAGAAAGGGGGGAGAAAGAAGAAAGAAAAATAAAATAAAATAAAATAGTAGAACAGAACAGCAGCAGCAGCAGCAGCAACAACAACACCACAAAAGCTGTCACAATTGTATCTTAATGTTCAGTCCACATACAGGGAAGTACCGGTAAATCCTCCCAGCTCTCACTTGGGAGCTTCCCCCTTCCTCAACCTCACACCTTGAGAAAGACCTTTCTTGCCTGCCTTCCTCTTCTGTCCAACACCTCTCTGTATGTATCTTTTTACCCCAAATATATGTCTTCAGCAGTGCTTTTTTTAAAAAAGAAAAATGGATGCCAGTAATCACCATGAAGTAAGCGCCACACTTTTTAACAACAAAAAAGAGGTGCCGGTGCTGCATAGCCTTGAGGACCCTCTGAAAAAAAGCTCTGGGCTCCAGAAAATAAAACTTACATATGAGTAAGATAAACAGAGGGCTCTCAAGAATTTAAAATAATAAAAAGAACAATAAAAAATGTAAAGGAGAAAAGAGATTCTTCAAAGAGCTGATTTTCGTGGTGAAAGCTCTGGGGAAGAAAGAAAGAAAGAAAGAAAGAAAGAAAGAAAGAAAGAAAGAAAGAAAGAAAGAAAGAAAGAAAAGGGGGGAGAGCTCAGAAAGAGCAGGGCAAAATGTAAATGCAGAGAAGCCCTTAGTATAATACCTGAATGTGGCAATCTTGGTGGCTCAACTGAGTGGGTTCTCCAACTAGGCAAACCTATATACCTACACGTCGTGGTGGTATCAAGGTAAAGGTAATGGGACCCCTGACCATTAGGTCCAGTCGTGGCCAACTCTGGGGTTGCAGTGCTCATCTTGCTTTATTGGCCAAGGGAGCCGGCGTACAGCTTCCAGGTCATGTGGCCAGCATGACGAAGCCACTTCTGGCGAACCAGAGCAGCACACGGAAATGCCGTTTACCTTCCCGCCGGAGCGGTACCTATTTATCTACTTGCACTTTGACGTGCTTTCGAAGTGCTAGGTGGGCAGGAGCAGGGACTGAGCAACGGGAGCTCACCCCGTCGCGGGGATTCAAACTGCTGACTTTCCGATTGGCAAGCCCTAGGCTCTGTGGTTTAACCCACAGCGCCACCTGCATCCCGTGGTGGTGTCAACAGATCTGGAAATTACAGAAAAAGATGAGGAGCAAAATGAATTTTGCTGCTTTCCTCCCTGCCACGGGCTGTAGAATCATACAGATAAATAAATAAAACTGAGATTTAGGGAATCCCCCCCCCCCATTCCCTTCTTTGCCACGGACACATTCCTTGATCACTCAGACAAGTATCTGTCCTGGTCATTTGACAATAGAGATGCAATCTGCAACCCAACATTCCAGTTTATATGGGAGTGAGCCACCGTGGACCCTGTGGGGTTTACTTCCCTGTAGATGTGCAAGGTATCGCTCTGACACTAAGCTTGTTGTTGTCTTTGTTTTCTTTAAGGAAAGCTGCTTGCAGCTGAAAAGCTATATAAGTGGTCCCTTGGGACGTTACATCATTAATGTGACTTCTGCGGCCACGTTCTGCAGCAAAACTCTCTGCAACATGAATGGAAGATGCGTTCGTAGAAACAGTGAATCGGATGCTTATCTGCATTTGCCTTCTCACCGTTATAAGATTGTCTTCGATAACTCCGATGCAAGAAAAGTCCTCGTGAAAGGATATCTGAGGCAGAAGGATAGAAAGGCCCTGAAAAGCAGTTTCATCTGCCACTGTTACCAGGGATGGAAGGGGTCGGCTTGCAAGTGGCCTTCGTCCTCAAAAGGGTGAAAACCATACTGACAATAAAGGCAATTCAGTCTCTCTTACTCAATATTGCACTGTTCCGCTTTTGATTATTTTTATTCATCTGTTTATTTAAAATATTTTATAGCTCGTTTGTAACCCATTGCAATAGCAATGGGTTAAAAATGTGGTATATATTACATGCCGGCCAAGTGCCCCATTTTAAGCGGGTGGCACTGTGGTCTAAACCACCGAGCCTCTTGGGCTTGTTGATTGGAAGGACAGCAGTTCGAATCCCCATGACGGGGTGAGCTCCTGTTGCTCTGTCCCTTCTCCTGCCAACCTAGCATTTCGAAAGCACGTCAAAGTTCAAGTAGATAAATAGGTTCCACTGTGGCGGGAAATTAAACGATGTTTCTGTGTCCTCTGGTTTCCATCACAGTGTCCTGATGCACTAAAAGCGGTTTAGTCATGCTGACTACATGACCTGGAAAGCTGTCCGCGGACAAACATCGGCTCCCTTAACCTGAAAAGCGAGATGAACGCCGCACCCCACAGTCACCTTTGACTGGACTTAACCGTCCAGGGGTCCTTTACCTTTTACCTTTACCTTTAAGCAGGGCTACCCTGCTTTCCTTGAAAGTGCCCTGGGCTCTTCCTTCATCATGGGCACCCCAATTTTGCGTGGCCTATGGATGGAGGCTGTAAAAGCAGCTCCTGGGATGGCAGCTGCATTGGTGCCTTCCAACATGGCACCAGCATTTGCTACATCTCCCATCAACCCCTGGGAGAGGAGCCCAAATGTCCGTGTGTGTGAAGGGGAGGAGCCTCAGCCTTCCTCTGCCAACCATGTGAGTAGCTCATGCCTGGGGTGGGGTTCGGGAAGTGGCTTCCTTCCACCTCAGGGGCGGCGTGCGAGTGGGCCAAGGCAGTCCAACAGGGATGAGTCCATCACATCTTTCTTGACAGCAAAGAAAACTACAAGAAATAGGCAGAGGCGCTAAGCTCCAGCAAAGGTTTCAGTGAAAAGATATGCCTAAAGTTGGTGCCTCAAACTCATCAGAATCAGCACTACCCATATATCAGAGGGCCAAGGGTAGCACAACTGAGCAGGGAATCACCCCTACATAACATATCTCAGGGGGCTTCAGAATCATCAAGAGGGCCTCTCCCACAGATCTTAATATGCAGGCAGACACTCCTTCAAGTAATCAGGTCTCAAGTTGTACAAGACTTTATAAGTCAGCAGCTTGTTGTCACCTAGCCATGTCCCTGTCTGACATATTTAATGGCTGAAATGGACACCAAATTTACTTCTCCAGCTGGACAAATCACAGATCATGCTTTTGATAATAGTCCTTCCCTGTTCAGATAGCATCAGAGGGCCACCGGAATATGGGACATTCTGTGCAGCGTTCAGCTGATCTTTTAGGCCATTTGGATTTGTCTGAAAAATCAGTACATTGTGTGCCGAAAAGCCCAAGAAACTTTTGCCCACACCTCTGTTGCTCTTCGGAGCCATCCCAGCATATTGGCAGAGGTGTCCTCTACCTTTCAAGATCCCCCGGGATGAAGCGAGAAGCCAATAAGGTTCCTCCCAGCCTTATACAATGGATGTATTGCTAACTGCCAGGAACACACATCAGATATTATCTGGTGGCCTCTGAGGTCTGGGACATTCTGTGCAGCATCCAGCTGATTCTTCAACCTGTTAGGATTTTTCCTAACAATCAGTACATTATTCCCCGCAAAAGCAGAGAGAACCCACATCTCTGCTGCTCTCCAGAGTCACCCCAGGATGTTGCCAGAAGCCTCTTGTACCTTTCAAGCCCAGCTGAACTGGGAAGCCAAGGAGGTTCCCCTGGCCTTATACAAGGGCTGAGTTGAACCTAGCTCCTCAAACTAAGTGAGGTCTTGCTTGCCAGAAGTTGAGCTACTGCCAGTTTTTTCAGCCAAACTGGTGGGACTTTGTGGCCATAGTGCTCTGCTTGGATTGAGGATGGCTAACCTGTGCAGGGAATGAGAGTTTAACGGAAAAGTATTTGGGATTCTCTAGATTGAAATGGATTATTGAAGGACGGGTGGGACAGAAAGATTCTGGCTTTGGGATTTCAGTGGAAAATTAAAAATAAATTGCTGGCCACAAATGGAGCAACCTCCACTAAACTTAGGCCTTACATTTGGAGAGGGAACTAGTCTCCTTTCATAACCTTCTGGTTACTGAGTAATAGGGAAAAGCTCAAATGTACTACAGTGGCAGAAAGGGGTTGGGTGCACTCTTCCCACCTTAGATCAAATCTATGCTGTCAGATGCCATAAGACATCTGCAGAGATAGCGCAGGATAGTACACACCCTGGAAATGATCTCTTTCAGCTTCTGCCTTCTGGAAGAAGGTATAGGGTTATAAAGACCAGGACTAACCACCTGAGAAACAGGTTCTACGCAAATGCAATTCTGGTTCTAAACACAGCATAAGGAGTCTCTATAGTATATTGTATTTTAAAATGGGGTTTCAGAGTTTTTAGGGGTTTTTGAATGTCTTATGTAGATTTTCAATTTCATTGTTCTGTATGGGACAATGACAATAAATATATTGTATTTGTATTCGTCTAAACTTTTGCAGCTCTGGCTAGCCATCACTATTGTTCCTTCCTGAAGAGATCATGAGAAGATAGCAACAAGATATCTCCTCCTGATGCTACAACCAGAAAAGTGCTGGCCTAACAGAAAAAATTAGGGAATATGGCCTATAAAGCCAGCGTTCATCCATTCTGTTTCACCTGCAGGTTGGTTGAGAGTAGATTGCTCAGCACATCAAGGCGTTACAATTTAAAACTAGAGCTGAACAGAAAACCCAGTGAAAGGAACAGGCATGTCTTCCACGTAAGATGCCATCAGGCATCAGCTGAGGTCTGTGTCAGGCTGCTATGAGCGACTCCCAGCTGATTGCCAGTATAGTATAAAGTATAAAGACAAAGGGAAAGTATAAAGACAAGGGAGGTTTCTTTTTATTCAGTATTTACAGAGAGCGGCTATAGAACCCAGCCTCTCGGATAATGGTGTTGTCCCAAGTGAATCTCCATCCCCCCATCTCTCCCACTTCCTCATTTGTCACTTCTATGGGAGCTGCTATGTGCCCTCTGTCTTTGAGCTCTTTGCTCTCCTACCTTTATGGCTTGCTGGGTTCAGGGTGGTGGTGGTGGTCCTGGAATGCTTTCTAAAGACACTGTGTCCATCGGCTGTCATCTCTCTGCTGCTTCCTCCTCCTCTTCCTCCTCTCCCATTATTTCCCAACTCCCCCCCCCCATTTGCCTCTGAGCTGTGAGCTCCCGCAAACCCCTGTTGTAAATCTAAACTGTCTTCCTCTTCCTCCCCCCTGGAAGGGTCAGGCTGAGGAGGCAGTCTCCGCCATATCTCCTCTGCCCAGTTCCTGACAGTCCGGGACATTCTGTATGGAACACAGCTGATCCCTCACCCCATTTGGATTTGTCTTAACAACCAGCACTTTGTGCCTGAAATGGCCCAAGGCAACCACTGCCCTTATCCCTGCTGCTCTTCAGAGTGGCCCCAGCTCCCGCCCCACATCCTTCCCCCTGCTCCATCTCCTCCTGCTCAGATTTTTCTCCTTCCTCCAGCCCTGGCTCCTGCCTTGCGTAATAAATCACTGGCGTCTTCTCTTGGGTTATTGTTTTCCACTCATCTTGTATGCCCACCTCAGGTCCAATTTTGTATCAGGAGTCCAGGTTCCCAGCTTGATAACACAATAACCATAGCTAATTAAAAAGGAGGAATCATAGAATCATAGAATCATAGAGTTGGAAGAGACCACAAGGGCCATCGAGACCAACCCCCTGCCAAGCAGGAAACACCATCAGAGCACTCCTGACATATGGTTGTCAAGCCTCTGCTTAAAGACCTCCAAAGAAGGAGACTCCACCACACTCCTTGGCAGCAAATTCCACTGTCGAACAGCTCTTACTGTCAGGAAGTTCTTCCTAATGTTTAGGTGGAATCTTCTTTCTTCTAGTTTGGATCCATTGCTCCATGTCCGCTTCTCTGGAGCAGCAGAAAACAACCTTTCTCCCTCCTCTATGTGACATCCTTTTATATATTTGAACATGGCTATCATATCACCCCTTAACCTCTTCTTCTCCAGGCTAAACATGCCCCGCTCCCTTAGCCGTTCCTCATAAGGCATCGTTTCCAGGCCTTTGACCATTTTGGTTGCCCTCCTCTGGACACGTTCCAGTTTGTCAGTGTGCTTCTTGAACTGTGGTGCCCAGAACTGGACACAGTACTCCAGGTGAGGTCTGACCAGAGCAGAATACAGTGGCACTATTACTTCCCTTGATCTAGATGCTATACTCCTATTGATGCAGCCCAGAATTGCATTGGCTTTTTGAGCTGCCGTGTCACACTGTTGGCTCATGTCAAGTTTGTGGTCAACCAAGACTCCTAGATCCTTTTCACATGTACTCCTCTCAAGCCAGGTGTCACCCATCTTGTATTTGTGCCTCTCATTTATTTTTTTTGCCCAAGTGCAATACTTGACATTTCTCCCTGTTAAAATTCATCTTGTTTGTTTTGGCCCAGTTCTCTAATCTGTCAAGGTCGTTTTGAAGTGTGATCCTGTCCTCTGGGGTGTTAGCCACCCCTCCCAGGATTTATTGCAAAAACAAACATAGCTCCAGATGGCTCTAACAAAGCCTCCGGCATCATTACTTAAGATGACCCTTCTGAAGACTCCTTCCGGCATCTAAAGAAGATATTGAACTTATGACCCTTGTGTCTCTTGTTTTGCTTCCTATCTAGCAGCCTTCCCATTTGCTCCCATTATTGGATCAGCTCCAACCTCTTCCTTTTCTGAGAGGCTGTCTCTGAGTTTGTTCGTGCCTGATTGTGCTGTTGGCGAGCTTTGGCTGTGTTCTAGCCTGCTCTCAGCTCCTGCCATATCACCCTGCCTGTCAAGGTCAGGAAGAGCTGAAGTCTGCAGCTGCCAGCTCTCCCCTGCCTGACTAACATCAAAGCTTCTCTGTTCTTGGCTGCTTTCTGCAGCTGGCTGCAAACCTTTGCTTGGAGCTGGTTCATT